TTAACTCATCAGGTACCAAAGGCATCTCTGGGATGCAGAATTAGGATGGACTGGAGCCTCCTCTCCTTAGCTTTTGAAAAAATATATAAAATAGGACATTTTCCTTTATTAAAGTACACATTGTAGTAAAAAATTAAAAGAAATAAATTAGAGAAACAGCATGAGTGATTTCACTGTTGGACTAGGGGGTAATTCAGAAGTCTTTTTTAAGTGCAACTATGGGGTTGTCTACACTGCAAAAATAATCCAGTTTGAGACCACTTTAACTGCCATGGCTCAGTGCTATAGAATTCTGGGATTTGTAGTTCTGGACAGTGATATTTAGAGAGATTTAGATTTCTCTGTCAGAGAGCTCTGGTGCCACAATTCCCAGAATTCCATAGCACTGAGCCATGGCAGTTAAAGTCGTCTCAAATTGCCTTATTTCTGCAGTACGGATGCAGCCTGTGCAAATAATCTCACTAACTCATTCTGGGTTTGTTGTTCACACTATAGAATTGTATTTTTGTGAGTTCGGTTGCTCACATGTGCCAGCATTCAAAGATGGAGCCGATAATACAAATGTATTTGAAACACGTCCAGGGCATGCAGAGTTTTATCTCAGGTCTATTCGCATCGATTATTCACACTGCTGACGATGCGAATCTTTAAAAATAAAATTCAGGGGGGGAAAACTGATATTGATTATTCCAGGTTAAGTGGGTCTTTTGGCAGCCCTCCTCCCAAAAAACTTAATCGGATGCATTCAAAATACATGTGAACAACAAAGATCCATCCCAGATTATTTTCACCATCTGAATAACCTCTAGAACTCCTGGAGAGATAGAGAGCGAATATGCTTTCAAGCCACTTGTTGTCTTAGGATGACCCCATGAATTTCATAGGGTTTTCTTAGGCAAGGTATGATCAGAGGTGATTTTGCCAGTTCCTTCCTCTGAAATATAGCCTACAGCACCTGATATTCATTGGCAGTCCTTCATCCAAGACCTTGCTTAGCTTCTAAGATCAGATGGGATCTGGTGCTATTAGGATATTTAGATCCACTAGAAATCCTAGAGACTTGGGTTCAATCCTCACTTGGTTATGGAAACCCACTGAGTGGTTTTGGTCAAGTCACATTCAAGTCAAACAGGTTTGATCTGTTCTAATACTCATTTCTTTGTCTTTTTGGCTGTCCATGGTACGCTTAGCACTCTTCTCTAGCACCACATCTCAAATTGGCTTTCTTC